GGATAGAGATGTGGTGGATAACTGGCGAGAGAGAGAGCCTCGCGGAAGAGAAAAGGATAACTGGCGAGAGAGATAAGCGACACGGCTGGTTTCTTCTAGACGAGACGTGCGGAAGAGAATTTGCCTTCTTTTAAGGTTCAATTTGACTCGGTTTAGATCTAAAGCTGAGCACTTCAAACCACCTCATACGCCGGATGAACGACCCAATCACTGACCGGTCATAAAAAAAATCCAAACATGCGTCTCAAATGAGACTCAAAAGTATGAGCTGACCGGCACCCCTCATATCTAGCCCAAATGTAGGACGGATATGGGGCGCCTGGGATGTCCGTTACGTCGGACCAGGCCCCACTGGCCCACCCGATCCACATATATTCCTTCCCATCCGCTGCCCGGGCCAAACCCTAGCCACTTCACTTCACTCCCCTCCGCCACTCAAGCTCTCGCCCGGTGATCTCGGCCTTCTTCAACATGTCAAGCAACGGGTCCGACGACGACCAATACAGATCTGTTGACTAGGGCGTCGTCCCATGCGGTTTGGATGAGGCAATGGTCGTCCGTATTGCACTCCGTCGCTCCTATCTGTCCGGCGCGAGTCCATTATGTCAGCGCATCAAGGCTCGGATCCTTCGACGCTGGATCACCGCGGTCCTCTCCAGAGCCTTCAAATCTCCCTTTCCCCATCACCGGTCCGCCAGAACATGAGTCCTACCGGGACCGGTGTGTCCGCCATGGGAAATAGAGGATGAGGGCTTCTGAGGTCCGCCTCGCCGCCAACGTGGCCGTGACGCGGGTGCCGCATAGGAGAAAACCATCCGCACCCGCATTGTAAAGAAGTGGTGGCGGAGGAACACTTGCACCCTCGCCTGAGAGCAGAACCGGACGGTCCGTGTCATGGCCGGACTACCTCCCAAGGAAGAGAAGGAGAACAACGATGGGTCAGACAGCTCCGGCGATGAGCAGATCCTACTCGATCCGTACTGCATCTTTGACCGCTACTTCCTAGAATAGAGCAAATTACATCTAACCGTAAATTGAGACGCAACATACTAAGTAAGATTCAATTG